GAGAAAGTATAACAACAAGATTTGGAGGACGGACGGTGGAGAGCGAGATCCGCGCAGAGCATTTATCGAGTACGTTGGCCATCGTCAGAAGGTGACAACGTTCCTGGAAATTTCTACCTGAGTCCAGTTGACAGCCCAAATTCCAAACTCTGGTACAAGATGGTTCCAATTGGTAGAAATACATTGGCAAAGCAAATGCAGAGTATTGCGTCCATCGCCTCCCTGGACGGCAAATTCACAAATTCGAGTGGTTGCAAAACAGCCATCCAAGAGCTCCGTGATGATTTCGACCCACTGGAGATCTCAGAGCTGTTACAGCCATAATCCTCTGGAAAAACAGCGGCGAATGTCGAATAAGTTGGCCGGCTTCAACCCAAGCACGACAACTACCAACAGCGATTCAAGTCATGCTTTACGTGAGGTTGTTCTCAACAGCTCAGCTCCTCCAAGCAACACTAGCTACTAGTAACCGTGACAGCAGTGCCAGTAGTTCTAGTTACCTGAAGGCAGGGGCAGTTGGCGGGATGTTTACTGGAGTAACTTTTAATAATTCTCCAGTAAATATATATATATAAAACAGTTAAAACGATGACTTTTAAGCTTTTTTGAGCTATTTTTCGTAAGAGTTTACTCATATATTCCAGTCTTAATCATTTTGCTTTGAATGCAATTTTTTTTATAACTGTAAAGTGCTTACCGGTTTTTTTGTAGATCTTGTTTTAACACCGGAACGCTTGAATTTTCCCTTTCTCTTGAGCATTTCAGTTGTTGATTATCGGCGCCACATATTGCCAAGTTGTATGGTAGCAGGGAATCCAAGATTCATTGAATGAAAGAATTTTTCCATAAAATCTTTTGTCTTAAATAACTCCGTATTTTGTACGTTCACTTCTTTTGCTGAAGATTGTAAAATGTGAGGCACTGCTTTCTCCACAAGTTTGAAATAAAAGTGATTTTCATTCTAAAAATATCTTGTTTCCTATTCGCTAGATCTTGACACCCGACTTTGAAAGGGTTTCCATTGTTTGCGCACTGGCGCGGCTCACAAAAATACAAAACGTTTAGTTTCGCCCAGGTGGCTTTAGCTATGCGTTTCAAGAAAAATTCACTGCCTGACGAGTGAATTCCACGTTAAATTTCACGCGAAAAACCGATATCGCAGGAGGAATTCACTCGTCAGGCAGTGAATTTTTCTATAGAATTTATTTATTCTAAATTCCACTACTTGTACATATTATATACACTATATTCTTTATTCATATCAAAACTGAATTCCTCTTAGTACCGACAGGTATTTTAAAGAAGTTGACGCCCTTAACGAGGAAAAAAGAGATTTAATGGAAAGGTAGGAATATTTTTTCAAAGTTCAGTAATTCTGCATGCCACAGTTACACGTGCTAGCTTGTGGATAGATTCTCATTCAGCTGTTTTTTTTGTTTTTTTTTCTTTTTTGTACCTACCATTCTACATGTTGTTGCCGCGTACTTTTTACAGCGTGTCGTCATGATGGGCTGAATAGACTCGAATTTATTTTTTTTGTTAAACTCATCTATGAAAACCATGTTTGTTGCCATTCCGACACAAAAGAGTTTCACCTTCGAAAAATTATATACATGGTTCTTTCAAAACATACAATGTAGATAGCCATTTCCTAAGATAATTTGGACTAGTAGAATTTCACCCGAATGGTGGTCAAGCGGAACACCAAAACAATACGAACAGAACCACGTGCATGCAAAGAAATAAAAAAAAAAATAATAATCATGGAACTATTTTTACATAGTCAACGTGGCTAGCAGCGTGGATGGCGGGCGCGTCCGCCCTACGACGGCAACAACGACGAAAAACGACGACGACGTCGCGCAACATGACGGCCATATTCCAGCTAATAGGTTTACCGAGGCATGCAATCATGTTTTACAGCGTACATATTTAATACTGGACATCCTTGTTATGATCAGTTGACACCTGTCAAAATAAGGCATCCGCTGACCAGTATCACCTGATCATATTGCGGGCTCAGGTTTAGAGCTCATCGAGATCAAGTGTGTTTTGAAGTTGACTGCTGTCCAGGAACTGGTTTTTAGATTGGATCGCATGCTCAAATAAGGCTGATATATTGTTATAAGAGCTACGCTTTTAGGCTTGGCTGAATCTATGTACTATGTAATATATCAAACACGATAGACATTGCTTCATATCCAAACACCGAGAAGAGAGTTGAAAATACGACGTGCAACGGAGTCTTTTTCACGAAATTCGAGGTGTTTATATAGCCGATGAAACACTGTCTCGAGTGTTTGATATATCTTCTCAATCGAAACAAAACCTAAGGAGTAAATGGAAAAGAAAAATCGTCCAAAGCTATGCTAATGAAGACCAGGTATCCAAACCTCCTTCACGGTTGTGATTTTCCCTGTGTTAACTTGATGAACTATTAATGAGTTTGAGAAAATAACATTTATAGCTTTTGAATTCTGGGCCAGCGTTAGCCCAGTTTCCTCCGCTGCCGTTTTTGGGGATGTCACGCAACGCTCCCCCCAAAGAAACGGCTGCTATTATCCGAACCACCTTCCTTTCCTTTTTTGTTTGTGACTCGCTCACGTTCTGTTAAACCATATGGCTGTACAGAACAATCACATAACAACAAAGTGTGAATGGCGTAAGCTTTCACCCGAAAAGGATGTGGCAGATTATCGCTGGTGTGCTGATCATGATATCCTGCAGTGGGAACACTGAGGGATTTCCGGCTTTGTTATCACGCCGTGCGCCACCGAAAAATTTGCTGTGTGCGCAGGCTATGATCATGACGGACCAATATAACTGTCCCCCGGGTGGCGGTAAATCCAAATAAGTTGTTGGTACTCTTTTTGTATGCAGGATATCTTCGCTTCAAAACGAGCTCACAGCAAAGGACAAAGAAATGGAACTTATCAAGGCAAAGTAGGTACCATGCCTTCCTTAGTGTCAACATTAACTCTGTTGTGGCTGTGCCTCATTTGCTCGTGAGCCTCGAGAAAGGCTCTTTTTGCTCCCTCCCCACCTCACCCCTACAATGTATCTCTGAAAGTGTTCACCCAGCAGTAATAATCAAGCTTATAATCCATCAAATATTTTCGCTCGCGCGCGATTGGTCTTAACGCGTTACGTGACCGAATATTCCCCAGCTAAATCTGGGGAATATCCGAGATTATTCCCCAATTTTCGAGACTGCGCGTGTTGCGAAAAATATTTGAAGGATAACAAACACAATAGCCTTCATTTGACTTTGAAAATATGCTCGGATATTTGTCCTTGGACATTATCTGTTCCTCGAAGCTCACAGTTTTCTTCGAGCTTCGCTCTCGGAAAACTGTTCGCTTCTCGGAACAGATAATGCCCGCGGACAAATATCTGAGCATATTTTCCCGCCAAATGGAGGCTATTGTTTATATATATATGCAGGTGATTATCACTAAAGTGCATCACCTGCATAAAATTTAGCATAGTTTTCAATTCCACGTTACTAATCAGTTTCTACCAACATTAAGAAGACAAGACATTGTTTCATCTGATGTATTACTATCTCGAAACTATGTAAAAAAAGGTAATAATAATCATAATAATGATAATGATAACGATAATGATAATGATAATGATAATGATAATAATAGCGGAGCCCCATACTCATACAGGAAAAAAGGAAACCCATCAGTTGGTTTTCTCATGGTTATCATGGCTAGCGGTATTGCTCATGGGCACGTACGCACGACGACGACGACGACGAAGTCGTGCAACATGGCGGCCATACGCCAAATAATAGGTTGACAGACATGCAGCCTTGGTTTACCGTGTACTTCTTTGATATTGAATATCTATGTTATGATCAATTGACACCTGTCAAAACAAGGTATCCGCTGACCAGTATCACGTGACCATATCGCGGGCTCAAGTTTACAGGTCATCGCGGTCACGTGTTTTTTAAGTAGACCGNCTGTCAAAACAAGGTATCCGCTGACCAGTATCACGTGACCATATCGCGGGCTCAAGTTTACAGGTCATCGCGGTCACGTGTTTTTCAAGTAGACCGCTGATGAAGTGCTGGTTTTCGATTGGATCGCGGGCTCATGTTAGGTTAACTTGTTGAAAACTGGGCAGGATTGTTCGGAAGCCGGTTAACGCTAACCCAGGATTAAAAGTTAACCGAATTATAACTTTTTCTAGCTTCTATACAAATGTTTTTTGCTGCTTTGTTTTGTGTATATGGCGATTATTAAAACTCGAAACAGAAGGCCAAACAATATACAGAACACCTCACCACAAAGTTACATGAAATCCAAATTCTACCTTTTCCTGGGTAAGCCGAATCGGGCTCTGAACAACCCGGCCCAGGAGCTACGCTTTTAGGCTGGCCTAAATCTGTATATTAATGATAATAACCCAACAGATGCATACACAACTCTTTGCTTGCGCAATGTTAATTAATAGCCGGCTTCTTACAGGTTCGGAGTATTTTTATGCTTTTTGTTTCTTCATTAAAGAAGTCTTAATTAGAACAGTTGCTAGTGCTAATTACACAGACACATAAAGAAAAATTCAGATATTTAATGGTTTGTGCGTTGGTTCGTTCATTTGTCCACTCTTTCCTTTGTTTATTAGCTAAAAACTCTTTCTCTTTTATTTTTTCAAATACTCAGCAAAGAA